ATATATAATATATATATATATATATATATATTATATATTAAAGCTTTGTAGGTGAAGCTTTGAGGTTGAAGCTTTGTTAGGTACCATGAATTGATTTTGCTTCACACTATTTTGATCAAGATAATGTGAAGCTTTTGTAGGTGAAGCTTTTGTGTTGAAGCTTTGTAGGTGAAGCTTTTGTGGGTGAAGCTTTTATGGGTGAAGCTTTTGTGGTGGGGAAAGCTTTAATGGGTGAAGCTTTTGTGGGTGAAGCTTTTGTGGGTGAAGCTTTTGTGGTGGGGAAAGCTTTAATGGGTGAAGCTTTTGTGAGTGAAGCTTTTATGGTGGGTGAAGCTTTTGTGGTGGGGGAAGCTTTTGTGGGTGAAGCTTTTGTTGGTGAAGCTTTTATAGGTGAAGCTTTTGTGGGTGAAGCTTTTGTGGGTGAAGCTTTTATGGGTGAAGCTTTGGTTGGTGAAGCTTTTGTTGGTGAAGATTTTATGGGTGAAGCTTTTATAGGTGAAGCTATTGTGGGTGAAGCTTTTGTAGGTGAAGCTTTGGAGTTAAAGCTTTTGTTGGGTACCATGAATTGATTTTGTTTCACACTATCTTGATCAAGATAGGTGAAGTTTTTGAGAATTTGTAGTTGTCTTCCATTGATGAAGCTTTTGTTGGTGAAGCTTTGTTGGGTACCACGAATTGATTTTGCTTCACACTATCTTGATCAAGATAGTGTGAAGCTTTTGAGAATTTGTAATTGTCCTCCATTGATGAAGCTTTTGTTGGTGAAGCTTTGGAGTTGAAGCTTATGTTGGGTACCATGAATTTATTTTGCTTCACACTATCTTGATCAAGATAGTGTGAAGCTTTTAAGAATTTGTAGTCAAACTCCTTTGATGAATCTTTTGTTGGCACCATAAATTGGTTTTGCTTCACACTGTCTTGATCAAGAATGTGTGAAGCTTTTGAGAATTGTGGTTGCCCTCCATTGATAAAGCTCTTGTTGGCACCATAAATTGGTTTTGCTTCACACTGTCTTGATTAAGAGTGTGTGAAGCTTTTGAGAATTGTGGTTGAACTCCTTTGATGAAGCTCTTGTTGGCATCATAAATTGGTTTTGCTTCATACTGTCTTGATCAAGAGTGTGTGAAGCTTTTGAGAATTGTGGTTGCCCTTCATTGATGAAGCTCTTGTTGGTACCATAAATTGGTTTTGTTTCACACTATCTTGATCAAGAGTGTGTGAAGCTTTCTACGAGTTGTAGTGTTTGCATTGTTACAGAAGGGAAATGTCTGAAACAGATGCAAGAGGGCTGAATAGCTTGATCTTCGTATGCCATGCACTGAAGTTGTTGTTGGCTTGCAATGAGACTTTGTTAGTGACTATAACTCTTGTTGGGCATAAGTGCTCCCCTAGTTGAGTTGTCAAGCTTAAAGGTTTTTGATTATTTGTGAATGCTAGGAGTTCACATGTACAAGTTGTACCACTCGTCTTCTCGTAGGTGGAATGAATGGTGAGTTGCTTTCATCACTTGGTTGGTGGTACGAAGGTGGGTTCCTTCATCACCTTTCATCACATTTCATCACCTAGTTGGTAAGAATAAGGGCAAGGTGTCGAGGCACATTGTAGCAAGTGTCGAAGACACAAAGTAAGCACAGTTGGCTTATGTATGGATGTGTTGGAATGTATGATGTTTATGTATGAATGTGTTGGAATGTATAATGTTTATGTTGATTGATATGAGTGATGTTTATGAATGTTTTGCTATGCATGAAGGAATCCATGCTTTTGATATGTGAACCATGTTGGTTGTAACACTTAGTATCACATACTTTGTGTTAAAGTACGCATGTTGAAGCTCTGAGTTGGAGTATAAGGGTAGGTCAGCGTAGACCAAGTGTTCCAGTGCTAGGAACGCAAAAGACTCAGAAGAAGTTGTCTGAATTCCCTCTTCTTTAAATATTTGTCGATTGTCTTGTGTGACAAAAGATCTCAAGCGGTTGAGAGTTAAAACATTTGTAATGTGTATGCCTTCTTATAATAGCATTTCCTACAGTACCTAGTCCTCCACTTTGAAAGAGTGAGGCTTGGCCCTATAGTCATAATAGTCGACGGTACGTTCACCCCTAGTTGTCTTGATACGAACTTTTATCCCTCTTGTTGTAATGGGCTTGCTGAGAGTAAAAATCCTTTCTCTTACCAAGAGATAGATACGTGTGGTGACTTAGCGAGTAGCTAAATGAGGCAGAAGATGATGCAATGGGTGTTTGAATGGCCAATATTTCCTCACTTGGTAGAACTTGACTTCCACTTCCCATTTGTTGATAGGGGTTAACCATATGGGGGTTCCCTTGGTATGTCCTTGCTTCGGCGGAGGTGTGGTTGTAAGCATGTGCTATCACTTCAGAGTATGTCTTCCAAGTGTTGACATTGATCATGTACTTGAAGAAATAATCACGTAGGCCTGCCGTGAAGGCCTTGATGATGGTCTTGTCATCTGCCTCAGGGCAGCGAGAATACTCATGGCTGAGGCGACCCGTATACTCTCGTAGTGACTCATCCGGCTTCTTGCGAATAATGTACAAGTCATCTGCAGAATGCAAGTGATCGGTCTAGAAGATGTGTTGAGAGAGAAACAGTTTCCTCAATTCCTCAAATGAGTCTACTGTCTCAGGTGGAAGACGGCAATACCATTTTAGAGCTCCGCCAGAAAGGGTGGAGGGGAAGAGAAGACATCGATCTTCGTCGGTGTGCATCCGATATGCCATGGTGGACTCAAAGAGGTTAAGATGTTCAATTGGATCCTCCCTTCCAGTATAGAGTTGTAAACCAAGCTTTTGTTTTGTCTTCGCTTGAATAGGGTGTCTATGATCCTTCTTTTGAGAGGGCCAGGCCTGGGTTGGTTCTAGTCAGGTATCTCGGCCCGACGTTCGGTAGGATAAAGGGGTACTAAGTGGAGTCATGTACCACTGGAATTTTCTTTCGTAAGTCTCCATCGCCTCTTGGAAGTAGGAAAGTTTGAGCAAGGGCCTGTGGTTTTTTCTTGGACTCGTCGTACTGACTTCTAGGGCCTGTGGTTTTTTCTTGGACTCGCTGTACTGACTTCTTGGACTCATTCTTTCCCTAGATTGGCAGCTGGCCTGGGTCGTGGGAGGAGACCAAGTCTTTCAGAAACCCTTAGGTCATTGATCTTCGAGCATATGTGGAGGGGATTCTCTCAACGTTGCTTTAGGAAGTCTTGGCAGTTACGATAAACGGCTTTCGATCCTTCCAACCCTTCTGCAAGAAGGTGTTTTCCTCCACTTCTTCTACTTCGGGTCGAAGCATCTGGGTTGAGAGACGTCTCATGTTGATCAATGTTTTGATGATTAGCTCGCTCCTTATCAGGGATACCCATGTCGAAAGAAGGTGACCCTTCGTGTTGGGGGGCACCCAGATAATGGTTGATGTCCACATGGGCAACGAGCTCGCGTGTTTGAGTACGCCTAGTTTCGTGGAGTGTCTCAAAGAGCTTCTCATACTGCTCCTGGAGGACCTCATTCTTCATTGCTATCTTGTTGTTCTAAGCTTCTAGCACATCGACTTTAGCTTGAAGACCAACCCTCTTTCCTTCCTTCTTTCGTTGTTTTGCACTAGGTGCAAGAAGGGTGTCATTCTGTGTGTTGTGGATTCCTTCGCTCCCCATGTTAGAGAGGGATGCCTGGTCAAAAAAGAGTGTACGAATGGTGGAAACCAACTTGGCAAAGCTAAAGATAGTGGGAATAAGTGTCGTTCCCACAGACGGCGCCAAATGTTGATGCACAAAATCAGTTAGGACTTTGGTACAACAGAAAGTGTTAAGTTTGTGACCTTCGCTAGGTTGCTCCGATCACTAGTGTGGATACGAGGTCTAAATACGAGGCCCTAAATATGGTGTAAACAAATTGCATAAATAAAATGCATGCCTTATGAGTTTAGAAATTGATTTTTATGTTAAGCATGTTTATGAAATATGTTGTTTATCGTCTCGTTTTTTGTGAGAAATTAATTGTTAGCCTATATTGAGCTATATTTTAATATATCGTATTTTCTATAAAAACCATGAACTGGTAGACTATCTAATGGATGACGATAGGATGCTAGAACATGTTTTAGAAACCCCTTTTTATAGTATTAACGATGGATGACTCTATACTATGAAGTGGTTATTTATGAAAGGCGCAATTATTTGTGCGTACCTAGTGGACACTATGCCGCCTGGGGCGAGGATCTGATGTTGGCAGATAAGCCGGGAGAAATAATCCCTAGCTACGGGCTGAGGGACACGGAGCAGGCATTAGGCCAGGAGTTGGTAATCTCTGGCTACGGGCGTAGAGACCACGGTGCTGGCTTAGGGCCGGGAGATATATTTATTTCAGTGATCTTGCTAGTAGTACATCGCACTACGAGACGATTTATGAGGCGTTTGATATTTTGTGTTTCATGATATATCTTTTGAGATATTTTTGGCATGCTAGGATTTTCATTAAACCTATCACTTTTTATGCTAGTAGTTTTCTTTATATAAACTGTGGGGGTTAGTATTTTGATAACTGTTTTATTATTATTGTATATATGAACTTGGTCCACTCACCTTTGTTTTGCTCCCCCATTCAGGTCTTAAAAACGAGGACTACGACATGACGTACAAGGCATTCCCCTACCAGTAGCAATCTATCACTCACTTGTGTGACATCCTGTAATGATCTTTCCTTTTGTGATCATGTTTTAGATTGTGTTCTGTGCACTCTAGACACTTCCTTAAACTTTATTTATTACTTCTAGATTCTAATGTTTATTCATGAATATTTCCTCCTAATCATTACTCTTGTAATCAATAAATGGCTTTCGTCACCCTCAGGTGTCGGCTAGCACGTGCCTATTCGGGTATTTAGAGAATATCGAGGTCAGGACGTGTCAGATTGGTATCAGAGCACGATTAGGGTTTCTTTCCACCAATTTGGTAAATTTCAGCCTTTCTAAATCTTGTTGTCTTTATCAGAATCATGGCTAATCCTGGTGGGAATGTGCCTCGACGACCTCGTTCTTCTATAATGGGGGGAATCCCGCAGTTTACCACTGCATTAATGAATGCTCTTCCAGGTCATAGGCCGAATCAGACGTATTTAGAGATCGCTAGAAGTCATGGAGTTATTGAGTTGAAATCTGTAGGGAATTGTGATGAGGCTGAGCAATGGTTAGAGAAAATGGAGGATACTTTAGAGGCTATAAAGTGTCCGTTAAATGAGTGGGCAAACACTGCAGGTTTCTTCATTCAGGGTAATGCTAGGAGTTGGTGGAAATCAACGAAGGAATCTCGTCCACCTGGTTTTTGGATGACATGGGTTGCCTTCAGGAAACGTTTTATTACTTACTTTTTAAGCCCCAGCTACAGATTGAGGAAGAGGCAGGAGTATTTAGAGTTTCGACAGGGTGACCTCAGCATCACAGAATTTGACAGTACCTTCAGGCGCTTGGCTAGGCATGATGATGGGACTTATGATAATCCACAAGCACAGATGGATCAGACGATAATTGCTCTGAACCAGGAGTACCGTACATTGGTAGCTGCTCAGAGACCTAGAACTTATGAAAAAGTAATCGAGATAAGTCTGAGTATAGAACAGTCTAAGTGGGATACAGAAATACAGGATCAACCTCAAACTTGAATCCAGCCCCTTTGATAGAATAAATAGCGGAATCAGAATAAGAGGAGTCAGAATTTCGGGTCGCGGAGTACCAGAGAATCAGTGGGCCCCTCCAGTTCTGTTGGTCCCAAACATTCTTTTTCCTTTAAATGACCAGGTCGGGGCTTAGGGTTGTCCAGTGAAGGCTCAAGCAACAAGTCGGCGAGATAATCATTCAGTTATTTCACTTCGAGTTATCCGGTCTGTAATCACTGTGCGTTACGTCATTAAGGGAGTTGTGGGATAACTGCTGTGGTTTGTCACAGGTGCGGTGGCACTGGGCATTTTGTTCGTGATTGTCCCTCAGCACCATCTGGTGATTTTACTTCTGGCTCAGGCTACAGTGGATATCAGCCAGTTCAGAATTTTGGCGCTCGACAGAGCTATGATGGCGGTGGCAGTAGTAGTCGGAGTTATGGTAGCAGTACTAATCAGAACTATGAGGGTAACAGAGGTTTGCAGTTGGGTGGCAAAGGTAACTAGAGTTTTAGAGGGAGTGACAGCTGGAGTGCTCAGTTTTCGACCCAGCAGCAAGCTGGAACATCTTCTGGTAATAGTAATCAGGGCAACAGAGCAGGACATGGTTCCAGAAATTGTGGCAGTCGGAACAATAATGTGGGGTATCAGGTTCATGGACGTTTGAATGCCATGACTCTGCAGGAGGCTAATCAGGATCCTTGAGTTATCACCAGTACGTTACCTGTCTGTAATACTTGGGCTAGAGTTTTAATTGATCCGGGTGCCACACAGTCTTTCATTTCTTCATCTTTTGCTCGGGTTATATCTTCTCAACCTCAGCCACTAGGTTTTGATATGCTGATTCAAATGCCAAGTGGTGAATTGTTTTGTGCTCAATGGCAATATCAGAATTGTCCAGTTATTGTTGAAGGGGAAAACTTAGAGATTGATTTAATTCTTTTCAAACTGGCGGAGTTTAATGTCATTCTAGGAATGGATTGGCTATCTAAGCACCGAGCGAATGTTGCATGTTGGGAAAAAATTGTGATGTTCAACTCGCGAGGACTTCCAACAGCTACATTTATGGGTGAGCGACGTGTCCTCCCCAATAGTATTATGTCTGCCATTCGAGCAACTAGGATGTTAAATAAGGGTTGTGTGGGGTTTTTAGCCCACGTAGTTGTGAATGACAAACCTTCTTTACGTCCAGAAGAGGTGCCAGTTGTAAGGAACTTCATCGATGTGTTTCCTGACGATTTACCTGGGTTGCCATCCACGAGGGAAATTGAGTTTACTATCGATTTACTCCCAGGTACAAATCATATTTCCTTGGTACCTTATCAAATGGCACCAGCTGAGTTGAGAGAATTGAAGATCTAACTCCAGGAATTGGTAGACAAAGGTTACATTCAGCCGAGTACATCCCCGTGATGAGCTCTTGTTCTTTTTGTTAGAAAAAAGGATGGATCAATGAGACTTTGTATCGATTATAGGCAACTGAATCAGGTGACAGTGAAGAATATTTACCATCTATCTCGAATTGATGATTTGTTTGATCAATTGAAAGGTGCTCAGGTATTTTCCAAAATTGATCTTCAATCGGGTTACCATCAATTGAGGATTCACGAGGATGATGTCCCGAAAACTGCTTTCCGTACGAGGTATGGGCATTATGAATTTCGTGTCATGCCTTTCGGATTGACAAATGCACTTGCAGCATTCATGGATTTGATGAACAGAGTCTTTAGACCGTATTTGGATCAATTTGTGATTGTGTTCATTGATGACATTCTAATTTATTCTAGAAGTGTTAATGAGCACAAGAAGCATTTGAGACTAGTGTTGGAATGTCTGAGGGACAACCAGCTTTATGCCAAGTTCAGTAAGTGCTAGTTTTGGTAAACTCAGGTTGGTTTTCTTGGGCACATAGTTTCTGCTGAAGGAACAGTATGGATCCCCAAAAGGTGTCAGCAGTGTCTAACTGGGAACAACCAAAGAGTGTCACCGAAGTGAGAAGTTTCTTGGGTTTGGTAGGGTATTCTCGAAGATTTATTCAGAATTTTTCTGCAATTGCTCTACTTCTTACTAAATTGACTCGTAAAGGTGTCCAGTTTGTGTGGGATGAAAATTGTGAACAAAGTTTTTAGGAGCTTAAGCAACGTTTCACTCAGGCTCATGTTCTCGCTCTTCCAGATGACAGTGGTGAATTTGAGGTGTATATTGATGGTTCTCTATCTGGTTTTGGGTGTGTACTGATGCAGCATGGAAAAGTGATCGCCTACGCTTCCAAACAACTCAAAACCCATGAAAGAAATTATCCCACTCATGATTTGGAGTTAGGAGTAGTGATTTAGCTTTGAAGATTTGTAGGCACTACTTATATGGAGAGAAATGTCGTATTTTTACAGATCATAAGAGTCTTAAGTATGTGTTCACCAAGAATGAGATGAATTTGAGACAGAGAAGGTGGATGAAGCTTATCAGTGATTATGACTGTTCGATCGAGTACCATCTTGGGCATGTTAATGCCGTGGTTGATGCTTTTAGTCGGAAACATCACGCGCAACTTGCATCACTTCAAGTTGTACACGTTCCATTACTATTTTCTCTTCGGGAAATTGGTATTAATTTGGAACCAGGTGAGCATGGAGCTTGGCTAGCACATTTTTAGGTTAGACCTATCTTTGTAGACATGGTCATAGAAGCTCAGGAACTTGATCCAGAATGCGCCGAATTAAAGGAACAAATGTTGAAGGAAGATAATGAGAAATTCTTCATCCGTAAGGATGGAGCGTTATTGAAAGGGAACCGTTTGTTCATGCCTAAAGATAACGAAGCGGTTAAGAAGGAAATTCTGGATGAGGCTCATACTTTAGCTTATGCTATGCATCCAGGAAGTACTAAATTGTATCGCACCATTTATCCTTTCTATTACTGGGAAGGGATGAAACGGGACGTAGCAGAGTATGTGAGTAGATGTCTAGTCTGCCAATAGGTTAAAGCAGACAGATAAATACCTGGGGCACTGATGCAGAATCTTTCGATACCAGTTTCGAAGTATGAGGATATCATTATGGACTTTGTGTATGGGCTACCTAGAACACCGTCAAGGTATGATGGTATATGGGTAACTGTCGATCGGCTTACTAAGACTGCTCACTTCTTACCAGTTCGACAGACCTACTCGTTGGAGAAATTGGCAAAATTATTCGTCGATAATATTGTTCATCTTCATGGTGTACCCGTCTCCATTGTGTCAAACAGAGATCCCAGATTTACTTCCAGGTTTTGGAAAGCCTTTAATGCCGTTATGGGTACTCATTTACTGTTCAACACTGCTTATCATCCACAAACTGATGGTTAGTCCGAGCAAACGATTCAAACTTTAGAGGACATGTTGTGAGTGTCGGTGTTACAGTGGAAGGGCAGCTGGGATAACTATTTACCGTTTGCGGAGTTTGCTTACAATAATAGATATCACTTGAGTATTGGTATGGCGCCTTTTGAATCACTTTATGAGAAGGCATGTAGGACACCATTATGTTGGACAGAGGCAGAAGAAAGGTCGTTGGTGGGACCAAAGATTGTGAATACCACCAACGCTAATATCCAACTAATTAAGGCGAATTTGAAAGCGACACAAGACCGACAGAAAAACATTGCAGACAAACACTCAAAGGATCGTGAGTTTACAGTGGGCGACTTTGTATTCCTGAAATTGTCTCCCTGGAAGGGTGTTGTTCGTTTTGGTAAGCGAGGAAAGCTGAGTCCTCGATACGTCGGTCCCTATCAGATTATTAAGAGAATTGGTGCAGTTGTTTATAGGTTGGAGCTACCACCGGAGTTGTCACCGATCCATAACGTTTTCCATGTTTCCATGCTTCGGAAATATGTACTGGATCCCTCTCATATCATCCAGATAGAGCCATTAGAAGTAAATATGAATGCTAGCTATGTAGAAGAACCAGTGGATATCCTTGACAGACAGGATAAGGTGTTACAGAACAAAGTTATTCCTTTGGTAAAGGTACTATAGAGAGACCATGCAGTCAAAGAAGCTACTTGGGAAACGGAGGAATCAATGCGGAACCAATATCCCTTTCTTTTCGGGTAACTTCTCAATTTCAAGGACAACATTTATGTAAGGGGGTAGATTGTTACAACCACCCCCATATTTTCAGTTTATTTCTATTTTCCCCTAGAACATATTTTAAATCTATCAATTTAATCCCTTATTCTCTTTTAATCCTAACCCTTGATCTAGATTCCCTATTATTCCTAAACTGCCATATGGCAGATTCTTAACTCTCTCCTCTTTCCCCTTTGCCCGAGTCCTCCCTCTCAGATATCTCCCTCTCTCTTTCTCTCACGGGAACGGGAACTCTCATTTCTCACCCTTTCTCTCCCTGCACCGTGACTAACCCAGGAAATCTGCATGCAGCTCTAGTGTAAACCATCATCATCATCTCCCTTGCATTATATCTCTCTCTTCATCGCAGTGAGGTTGAGGAACTCAGAGAAAGGACCTCCAACAGATCTCTCAATTCTTTCCGGCTAGGTAAGTGAATTTTTCCTTTTTTTTTTAAATTACCATTGTTGTTGTGGGAAGTTGTGGGTTGAAAGTTATGTGGTTTTTCCAAGGTTTGAGGACGGGAACGACATGGGGGAAGCTCACTCGCATTTTCCGATGGAACCTTGACTTTCGAGGAATTTTTTCCGAGCTCTCACAGCCATTCATGACGAAGCTAGGGTATGAAATATACTCTACTCTCTTCCCTCTTCATTATTGTACTTAGGTTAGGTTTTGGTTTGCACATTGCCATCGACCGGAGCTATAACAGCTCCGGTGTTCTTCCCCGAGCACACCCAAAGCCACCAGGCCATCAGGCTTTCTTAAACAACCACGGGCCTTAGCCCTTACTTGAACCAGCCCATTTCCCTTCTGATTATTTGGCCTGTAGGCTGTGCCCTGCATGGGCCGTGAGTGTGTGTGGGTTGTGTGTGTGTGTGTGAAAGTGGGCTCAACGTGTAGGGTGTGTGTGTGTGTGTTAGGCTTAGTGAGTACGGTGTGTGTGTGTGTGCTGTGTGTGAGTTTTGGGTCGTGCCTTGCATTGGGCCGAGATTTGTGTTTGTGTGTGTTGGACTGATTGTATTTGTGGTGTGTGTGATATGTTGTGCGTGTGTGTGTGTCCGTGAATATGTGTAAGCATGTGCACGTGTGTGTATGTATGTGTGTGCTGACGTGTGTGGGTTTAGGTTTAAGCCCAAACCACCATTTCTCACCCTAAACCCTTTTAACCCAAAAACCTTAGGATCCTAAAACTCATTAGACCTTAACCCATTCAACCCAAATCCTTTATTTTATATAGTTCAAGCCCAAATCCTTTAGAAAATCCTTTTATTTATTTACTCCCTTTTTGTGCTTAGGTGAAGTTGCTAGTGAGGAAATTCTAAATCCTTATCCGCACAACTCTACTGCTAAGAAGTATCTGTGAGTGGACCCTTTCTAAAATTTGCATAATTTCCTAGTTTAATTGCATATATAAAATGCATGCCTTATGAGTTTATGAATTGATTATTATGTTAAGCATGTTTATGAAAAATGTTGTTTATCGTCTCGTTTTTTGTGAGAAATTAATTGTCAGTCTATATTGAGCTATATTTTAATATATTGTATTTTCTATAAAAATCATGAACTGGTAGACTATCTGATGGATGACGATAGGATGCTAGAACATGTTTTAGAAACTCCTCTTTATAGATGACTCTATACTCTGAAGTGGTTATTTATGAGAGGCGTAATTATTTGTGTGTACCTAGTGGACACTATGCCGCCTGGGGCGAGGATCTGATGTTGGCAGATAGGTCGGAAGAAATAATCCCTAGCTACGGGTTAAGGGACACGGAGCAGGCATTGAGCCGAAAGTTAGTAATCTCTGGCTACGGGCGCAGAGACCATGGTGCTGGCATACGGCCAGGAGATATATTTATTTAAGTGATCTTGCTAGTAGTACATCGCACTACGAGACAATTTATGAGACGTTTGATATTTTGTGTTTCATGATATGTCTTTTGAGATATTTTTTGCATGCTAGGATTTTCATTAAACCTATCACCTTTTATGCTAGTAGTTTTCTTTATATAAATTGTGGGGTTTAGTATCTTGATAACTGTTTTATTATTATTGTATATATGAGCTTGGTCCACTCACCTTTGTTTTGCGCCCCCATTCAGGTCTTAGAAACGAGGACTACGACACGATGTACGAGGCATTCCCTTACCAGTAGCAATCTATCACTCACTTGTGTGATATCCTGTAATGATCTTTCCTTTTGTGATCTTGTTTTAGATTGTGTTATGTGCACTCTAGACACTTCCTTAAATTTTGTTTATTACTTCTAGATTCTAATGTTTATTCATGAATATTTCCTCCTAATCACTACTCTTGTAATCAATAAATGGCTTTCATCACCCTCAGGTGTCGGCCAACACGTGCTTATCCGGATATTCAGAGGATATCGGGGTCGGGATGTGTCACTTTTTCAACCTAAAATTCAATACCTATGGCTAATAAATGACCACATCCTGAAAGAAAATTGAAATCTACCATGTTTCCCTTGTTCGTTCTTCTCTCTTTTTTGCATGTAATTTCCTTGCCGCTTCTAACCTACCATTTCAGTATGTGCAGCTGCAGAACAATTCCAAATAAAATATTCCATATTCCATCTGTTTCCTCAAACAAAGGACTAACACTGCATATTTTCCCTTCATAGGAATTTCTTGGATTGCTAGAAAATGGAGCAATTCGTTCAAGCTCGATTTGTAAGAAGGCACGGTTTACTGTAAATCCAATTATCGAAAAAACCTCGCCTTTCTGGTAATCTTTAGTTTGTTCACTTCTGTATACTTACACGGCCTTTGTCATTGTTCTTGTTCCACTGATGAGCTTGGACTCAAAGATCCAAAACACAACAGCAATAGTTTTCGATAATTCGAAGAAACTGACTAATTTGTGCTTGTATATATGAATAACAAAACTAGAATTGAAATACAAATTCAAATTTGAAAAACTTGAGCATTAACTAACAGTAAAATCAAATCAAATCAAACTTTGAAGTAAATCTCCACAACATCGAATTCTCAGTAACTCAGATGGACGACGATCCTGAGCAAAGTCTCAACCCCATCAGTGACGTGTTGGCCAGGAGGTATGAGGGACCTGACCTCAGCAAACCCACTTGCACTCCTGAACTTGCCAGTCCCTCCAGTCACAGACAAGTGTGACATGGAGCTCCCAATTTTGAATATCCCATAGAAGTTCAAGGTGTCCCCATACTCACCTCCTTCAATCATAGCTGTGAACGCCATCATTTGCGTCGACCCGTCAGCCGAGCTGGCCACGTAGACTCCCTGAGCCTTTCCAATTGTCTGCGAGCCCATCTCAGGTGATGTCGTCAGAATATCATCGATGACAGTGATGGTTCCAAATCCCAGGCTCAAACCGTCTGCACTTAATGGAGTCTGAGGAACCTGACCACTTTGTTTTCCAGAGAATGTTATACCAGCTAAGCCGGTGCCAAGTGGAATCCCATTAACGCCGTTGACGGTTGGAATGGCTCCATTAGCATTGGGAATGGCTACCCCGCCTTGTGGTGGCAGGAAGCCTATGGGCCTGGCAAAGGGCACTTGGCCGCCGTAGATGTTGCCAAGTAGACCGGTGATGGGCCTAGCTGTGGGGCTGCTGCCTCCCAAGATGTCATGCATGTACATCTCAAGGATTGGCTCATGGCCACTGGCTTGGACTAGGTCAACTGTTGCCTTGACCACTGAGGCAATTAGCAATGTGACCAAAATCGAAAGAAGTGACTGGTTGAACATGTTGAAGAGTTGGAAGTGTTTTTTTCTTGTATTTTGATGGGGTTTGGAGGATTTTGAAGGAGAAGGGAAATTGCTTTTGTGAGTGTTAAGTCTGGGAAATGGCTTCTGCTTTTATATAGAATGGAGAAATGGGATTAGTGAGATGGAGTCGTTTAAATGTGCACCTTGTTGTAGGACTTTTAGACAGAAATTAGGTCTTTTATTTAAGCTAAAAAGTATACGCAAATTATTCAATTAGTGGTTGATAGGATAGCAGTGGGAGATGTTTCCACTGTGCATTGGGTACAACCAAACAAATTGTCATAGACTATTGAAATAAAATTTGACTTGTTATAACAAATTTCTTTTGACTTGGATATGTTATATTAATTTTATGGCCATTTGACTTACCCTTTTAAGGCACCATAAAAAATCTATGTGCATGTTGACAAAAAAAAACTTCTCCGTTTAAGGCACCACTGGATGGATTTTGGAACAATAATATTAATGTTGATATTGATTGTGTTGATAATATATGGGTAACATGATGAAACATTTTGATATTGAAATGTTAGCTATACTAATGTCATAAAAACTTATTTAGGATGACATGAAGAGTCGGGCTCTTGATACGGCTATTATCTTTTAGTTGTTTGTTGTTCTTTTAGGCTCAGGCCGTCCTTTGTACCAGTAAATAACAAAAATATTTATGGACACCATATGAACAGTATATCCTTGAATAAATGGACGGCATGCTCATAGAAAAATTGCAAATACGTGACAGCAATTGTTTTCATGTTAGTACGAATTAGGCATAACTGATTAACTGTATAATCTTATATGTATAATTTTGTAACTTGCTTTTCACAATATGCCAAACACATTATAGTCTCTAAATACAACAAAGATGAATAATGAATTTCCACTTTCTTCTGGGCGGACATTAATCCTTCCTCAGCTCCATATACTCATACCGGGTGCCATCCGCATTCAGGATAACCGTCTCCAACCTATCACTTCTCTATTTATAAAGAGCTCAGTTGGTAGAGCTCCACTTTTGCAATTGGGTCGTTGCGATTACGGGTTGGATGTCTAATTGTTCATGCGGTAATGATAGTATCCTGTACATGAGCCTATTTTTTGGTTGAATCTATTTATAATGTCTATTGATGCAAATAAATATTGATTCATATAGGACTTCGGTTATACAACAGTAGTTTCAAGGAGTACAATTGTTTTTCTATCGGAATTGACAGCCGTTATAGTACTGCTGGAGTGTTACTGACTCTGGGGTTTTCCCGAAAAATAAAGGAAACTAATGGCTTATTCGTCTCTGTATATTTGGTGACTTGTTTGAAGAATAATTGATACAGAAAGAACAATGGCCATGTAACAAATGGAGATTACAGAATCAATCAATCATGGCACATCTGAGTTATCAATCTCCTGCACAGCCTCTTCAAGATCCATCACTTTCGACTGCCTCACCGCCGGCGAAATCAACGTCCATACTGCATAAACTTTTAAAGAAAAACCAAGAAAGATTATGGTATGCACAAAAATAAACCGATTTACGTGTGCAGAAGCAATCTAACTAAGAAATCATATATGCGGAGTTACTTACAGAATACTGAAGCTGCAAACCATTCGTTGATGATTTTTACTATATCCTAGTCCATCTGACATCGATGCTCCACCTGAATGTTTTTCCAGAGTGTTAATTAAATATATCGAAATCATACAAAACGGAGATTTCCCAAATAAAATCATCTGTGAATGATAGATGATTCCTTACTTCTTAGCTGAGTTATTGAGGTTCCAACTTGATAGCGATTTTACCACTTGTAAAACAAAGGGTTAAACCATAGAAAATTCTTGCAAGAGAACAAGTGTTTGTAGTATAGAATGGCTCAAGCAAGGTCGATCTCCTCAGGGACTGATATAAACAATTTACGAGTTTTTGTGTATTTAACTTATTTAACTCTAAGAATTACACTAATTTGACGAAACTAAATATTACTAGATGTGACTTAAACAAATATCTAAAATGGGAATTGGTTTATAAGGATAATGATTCAACTTAAACAAAACAAGTAAATAAGGAAATTTAAGATAAAATAAATTATTGAAGAAAAATAGATAGACAATATGCTAGAGTTCAACCTTTACCAACAACATTCTTACGTAGCTATTCCAATTGCTTAAATAATTGAAAACACACATGCTTTGAAGGTTGGATTTTCCTTGTGTATGTTTTACTTGTGACATTCAAGCTAAAACGCATACCACTACATGCAACTTATCCATGACATTTGGATTAAATATAAACATGAGTGATTCATTAATCTTGGTGAAAATCCTTTTGTTAAACTATATAATCCCTAAGAGCATGATATTTACCTTAGGAGAGTACAATTCTCAATCACAAGAAGCACAACCAATTTTAACGTGACATTCGTTCAAAATTGCATCCGATAACTTTTCTAAGCATCCTAATGGTGATCAAGCATCAAGGTACATAGATAGTTTAATTCAGTGATTGAAAATATCGAAGCAAGCATGTAACAACACTTAAGCAATTGGAAAATAAAACTACGTATTCATGTTGCGGCTCATGGCCTCACTCTAGCATAATAAATTAGTTACACATAATTAATTTGATACATAAGAAATTAAGGAAAACTAATGAAAAGGGCTTCAATATTTTAAATTTTAACCAAAAACCAGGTAATAGTTTTATTTAATGGTTAGGACAAAACCTAATGTCAAACCAGCCCATTAAGATTGGCCCAAACAAAATAATTTATCGAACTACCGGTTTTACCCCCTAACATCAGTCTTGCTCCAACGTTAGGTTTGACGAATGTCGTTGCTAAGCTCTGCGCGACTGCGCCCATGGAGGTCGTTTCCATACTATGCCCATTCAAAAGAAGTATGTAATGGATATACATCTGATCCTCCATTTCAAATTTCTCCAAGTACTCCCGTACAAATTGATCCAATTGCTATCTATTTTCACACTCGACAACCTAATTCCCGTGCACCCCCCTCTCCCTCTCTCTCCGCTCACCTTCTTCCCTCTCTAAAATCCCCAATTCCAAGTCCTATTCCGATCGAAGCCTCATCAATCAACAAAAAGGTACTAAAAATTCTCAAACCGTTGCTAAATTAGGATTGATATTATGTAATTCTTCTTCCTCTTTGTTTTTTTTTTTTCGATTTTTCAAGAATTATTCTGTAAAAACATTTTCCATTTTAGTTGATATTATGTAATCCAACTAAATTAGGATACTAAATATGTTCCATATGTTCCATCTTCGTGTAAAAACCTGTTCCATCTTCGTGTTCATGGATACTAAATCTGTTTTTGTATTAGTGGAGTGTTTCACGAATAAAAATGGGGAAGCTGAGTTATATCAAGTATCACAACCCAACGGCGGTGGTGATTGTGGCAAGCATGGTGATCAAGACAAGGGTAGATACAGTTGGATTTTTCCCCTCAGGTCGTGTCTTGTTAAGTCATTGGTTCAAGGGGAAGTTTATATATGTTGTTGCCTGTATGGGAAAGCGATTTGGGAATAGGCACCTCCACCAAGTGGTTGTCTATGGGACGTACTTTTGACCTTCATCACAAGTTAACAGGTAAATTCAAGGCCCCCGATTCACTGGAACCATGTGGAGCTCTCATTTCTGCCTATGACAACCGTTATTACCTACCTTGCACAGCCAAGGGTCCATGGGGAGCTGTCGAGCCCCTTTCAGTGTTATCATCTTGGTTCTGACACTTGGAAAGATCTGCCAAGAATTCCCCCCGATCTTCGTCATAATCTACATGACATTGTAGCTGGTTATGCAGTCTGCAATGATCATATTTTGGTTTCGATTAGCAACAGATTATTTGCCTATCATGTGCATGAGAAAAAGTGGCATTGTGTATCTAAACCCAACAGGTTTTTTGGTATTTCCGGTAGGGCAGTGGTTTTAGGCGACTATATCTATTATGTAGATTCAATGTCTGGTCTGGTTTGCGAAATTACATTTGACTGCACTGACTATAATCTGAGCACACATGTGTTTTTGGAAGGTTTGACATCTTTTTGTGAATGAAAATCATGGATTTGTGCATGAAAATTTATGTGGTGTTATTGTTGTATCTGTAGGTGCCCTGTAATTGTGTTTTTGTTTTATGCATGTTCAGTTTAAGAAATAGTGATAGTACTCGTGCTCAGTTCTAGGTTCAGTTTAAGAAATATAGTAATAATATAATGTTCAGTTTAAGAATAGTATATCTGAGAACCCTCTCAATGATGCATGCGCACATTTTATCTTTTAACTATCTTGGAAAATTGCAAGGGTGAAGTGCTTTCCTTGTAGCTCAATTCATCTCAACTTTGGTTTTTGTTCCTTGTCAATTATTCTTAGTATTATGTTTTCGTTTTGTAAATTTTCTTTTCATATTGCCACTGTTTCGGTGGTCTCTTCTTTGCAGCCCTTTACAGCTTGAGTATGGAGTGCTTCCGTATCACAAGTTGAATTGTTCGTTGCTTCCTAATCTCTGTTTTCATTTTCAATTCCATTCGAATTCACCATTTTTTCGAATCACCATATTAAGAGTCTTTGATTCACTAGTACTATCACTGTTTCGTAAACTAAACACTGACTATTTCTTAAACTGAACTAGTACTATCACTGTTTCGTAAACTAAACACTGACTATTTCTTAAACGGAACACTAGTACTATCATTGTTTCGTAAACTAAACACTGACTATTTATCAAACGAACACTATTTATCAATCGAACAATAGTACTATCACTGTTTCGTAAACTAAACATTGACTAATTCTTAAACAGAACACTAGTACTATCACTGTTTCGTAAACTAAACATTGACTATTTATCAAACGAACACTAGTACTATCACTGTTTCGTAAATTAAACACTGACTATTTATTAAACGGAACACTAGTACTATCACTGTTTCGTAAATAAAACACTGATTATTTCTCAAACGGAACACTAGTACTATTATTGTTTTGTAAACTAAACACTGACTATTTCTTAAACGGAACACTAGTACTATCATTGTTTCGTAAACTAAACATTGACTATTAATCAAACGAACAATAGTACTATCACTGTTTCGTA